TACTTTATGTTTTCGGGGTCGCTGAAACCGAATCTGAAGTCCGTTTAACCCCATCACGTCAGGGTTTCGAAATAACCTCAAAAAACCCAAAATTTTACCCCGAAATTTCAAAATCATGAATAATTTATATCTCCAAGTCTTACCATGACTACTTTATGTTTTCGGGGTCGCTGAAACCGAATCTGAAGTCCGTTTAACCTCATCACGTCAGGGTTTCGAAATAATCTCAAAAAACCCAAAATTTTACCCCGAAATTTCAAAATCATGAATAATTTATATCTCCAAGTCTTACCATGACTACTTTATGTTTTCGGGGTCGCTGAAACCAAATCTGAAGTCCGTTTAACCCCATCACGTCAGGGTTTCGAAATAACCTCAAAAAACCCAAAATTTTACCCCGAAATTTCAAAATCATGAATAATTTATATCTCCAAGTCTTACCATGACTACTTTATGTTTTTGGGGTCGCTGAAACCGAATCTGAAGTCCGTTTAACCCCATCACGTCAAAGTTTCGAAATAACCTCAAAAAACCCAAAATTTTACCCCGAAATTTCAAAATCATGAATAATTTATATCTCCAAGTCTTACCATGACTACTTTATGTTTTCGGGGTCGCTGAAACCGAATCTGAAGTCCGTTTAACCTCATCACGTCAGGGTTTCGAAATAATCTCAAAAAACCCAAAATTTTACCCCGAAATTTCAAAATCATGAATAATTTATATCTCCAAGTCTTACCATGACTACTTTATGTTTTCGGGGTCGCTGAAACCGAATCTGAAGTCTGTTTAACCCCATCATGTCAGGGTTTTGAAATAACCTTAAAAAAACCCAAAATTTTGAAATCATACAAAATTCTTGACTCTAAGTCTTACCATGACTACTTGACCCCAAAAACATAAAGTAGTCATGGTAAGACTTAGAGAAAAGAATTTTTCCTGATTTCAAAATTTTTGAATCAAATTTTGGGTTTTTTTTAGGTTATTTCAAAACTCTGACGTGATTGGGTTAAACTGACTTTAGATTCGGTTTCAGCGACACCGAAAACATAAAAGAGTCATTGCCAGATCAAAATCAAAAAAAAAAAATTTTAAATTATATTTTTTTATAATTTTTTCACCCATGTAACCCTTCCTTAAAACGGTACTTTAAATTTATAAAATTTGATTTATAAATATTATTTATTTCACTATTTTCAAAATTAATAAAATATTTTAAGAAGTCAAAATTTTTAAATTGTTTTTTCGAAAATGGAAAATTTATCTAAAGAAAATATTAATATATAAAAAAATTTTATGTTAAAATCTTTGAAATGTTTGTCAGCACATTAAAGAGAGTGGAAAGAATTTGTGTATGTGTATGTATATGTGACAGAGATCAAGGAAGTAAACAACATTGATTTCTTAAAGCACTAGTCAGCTCAGATATACAGTTCACTATAGGTATATATGTCGTTCGCGAATCAGTTAAAAATATTTTTTTTTAAAAAAGTATATATATATATTTAACAATATTCCTTTCTCTTCAGCAAACAAAATCTAATGGTCTCTCTGCTAGCGTTCTTATTAGGAGACGTGAGTGTTTTTTTCCTCTTTTTGTTCATATAAATGAAAAAGAAAGAACGGGAAAAAAATCTGGCCTCTGGGTTTAGGTCGCAATTTATAAAGAAGAAGCTCACAGTAAAAAAAAAATGATCTCTCACTCTCTTTTCTAAAAATCTACACAAAAATAATTCAAAACCATCCTATATATATATATAAGATGTCGATTAAGGTTTGACAAAAAGGTACGATTAAAAATTCCATCAAGGCACAGCTTGACAGGTGGACTTGTACCTGGGGGTAGAGCCGGGAACACCAGCTGTCTCTGACAGAACAAGTTTATACCAATTGCCATGGCAATTGTATACAAGACAAAAAAAAGTTCCCTTGCCCTTAGTCATGCTTAGCAATAATTATATTCATAAACAGCTCCAAAATAATGGAAATAGAAATAAAAATTTTTTTTTTCAAATATTAAAAAACTATTATTTACATAGATTTTTCCTTAGAAAAATATATCAAGAAGATTGGCAAAGACGACAAAATTTTAGCCGCAGTGCGGACTCTATTGATTTTCCAATGTTCTCCCACTCTCTCACTCTATCTGTACATACTGACGGTTCACCGAGGGAAGAGCGCGCACAGTCAAAACTCTTAATAAAGCAGACGATGTAAATAAACAAGGCAATTCGTGTACGCATAATTTCACTGCGAGTAATTAATTTACACACACGTTTGCTTTCGAATTATCTACTGGACAATTACATCATGATTCTTGTCATTAAATTTTACTCGATAATCATTGAGAAAAATTATTTTATTCATTGTATAATTTAAATTTGTTCTTATATGAATGACAATTTCAAAGAATTGTTAATATTTGAGTTATTCTTTTTTTTTTTTTTTGAATTAAAAGAGAGAGAGAGAGAGAGAGATATTAATTCACAAACAAAAATATCAAATAGTAATAAATAGTTAATGATAAAATAATAATAAAAAAAATAATAACAATAATAATCAGAATAATAATTTTGATTTATTTAATCAATTGTTTGGATTAAATTAAATATATTTAAAACTAGTTTTGTAATTATTTGGTAAAAATAATTAATTATTACTTTTTATTGATTTCGTATTTAAATTATTTTCGAAATTTTCTCGAATTTATAATTTTATAATTGTACACTTTTCAAATGAATAATTTCATTTTGACAATATTCAAAATTAATCATTAATAATTAATTGGAACTACTAAGTACTTAATTATTATTGTTCTTATGTTGGTAAGTATTTTTGTTCCAGTCATTATCATATTAGCACAAAAATAATAATAAAAAAAAAAAAAAAAAAATTGACAGTGGAACCTCGATAAAAGTTGCGATTCTCGTTTAGCGAGGTTTTACTGTATTAACTTTTTAAAAATGTCACAATAAAAAAATTACAATAAAAGTACTTTTTAAGTAACTAAATTATAAATTATTTATTATAATATTTATATATTCTAATATTTATTTATAAGATTAATTTTCCATTTATGGAAATAAATATTGTTTTTGTATATATATATGACAAATTCTAATTAAAGTTCGACGTTTGATGAAATAAAAAAAAAAAAATTTGTAAAATAAATAATTTATAGAAAAAGTGTTTATAGAAAATAATTGTCTTTGAATTTAATTAAATTGTTTAAAAGCAAGATAATTCGTTGTGAGTAAAGCCAGAAGTTATACATTGCGAAAGCTCGTCTAAAAAAACTTTCAAGAACTAAATCGCAGTTGACAACAATGTGTTAACATGTTGTCAATGATTAATAATGAAACATTATTCAACTTGTTATAAATATAAAATAATTTCACAAGTGAAAATTACATGACTATATAATATTATTTTCTATAAAATAAATTTAAACCATTTTATTAAAGCTAAAACAAAAAATTTATTCTAATTTAAATAATTGTGATATTAATAAAGATTATTTAAATTAGAACATATTAAATTAATAAAAAAAAAAAATCATATAATTATAATAAAATTAAAAATAAATAGTGCTGTCAATAAAATTCACTTATTCCACAAATATATGTCTACAATATACTGATAAGAATAAAATTTTGAATCGCAAGATCAGCCGAAAATCAGTAGGATTGAGTTAATTTTTAATTTTGAAAACAGGTTTCCAGTGTCAACAGCCGATAAATCGGACTTCCGCGTATCCAGGGGTTTATCCGCGCAAAAAACTAGGTCATCTTGCAGGGGCTTCGGGAAAATTTTTTTTTTTTTTATTTTTCTCGCGCCTCGAAAGAATGATTTTTTTTAAATAAAGAAAAGAATGAAAAAAGATAAGATTTTGCATATATATATTCATAAATAAACAAGAATAAACTGGCTGCTTTTATCAGTTGGTTTGCCGACCTGAATATAAAAAAAAGAAAAAAAATTACTATAAATAGCGATTTGATCATATTATATATATATATACTGTCAGAAAAAAAAGAAATGATTTTCATTGATTAAGATTGTTTCAAATATATTAGCTACTGAGACGAAAATAATGATGATGTAAAAACATTTTAGAACGGGCGGTATGTTGTTAACTAGCAGCTGATTGAAAACAAAAAGTTTTTTTTTCATGTTCTCTAACGCAACTCGCGATAATTCGCTAATATGATCTCGGGCTTCGAACTTGTCATTGTACGTCAGATTCAATGTTTTCTCAAGGACATGACCTTTACGCCATATATTTTTTTTATTATTATTATTAATATAAAAATTATAAAAGTAATTAATTATGAGGTGTTAAATTCTATAAAATAGAAAGAATTTTAATTGAAAAAAAAATTTCCACTTTTGTACAAAGTTTAACAATTATATATCCTTTCCAAGAATGCAATTATTTAGAATCATTATTATAAAAGTACGCGGTATATTTTTTAATTTTCAATTTTTCAAAATAATTTTTCATTTAATAATTATATTTTTTTAATTGCATTTTTAAGTAATTCTCTTAAATAATTTAATTTAAATTCCATCAAATGAATTAACATGAATTATTCCTTTAATTAATTATAATTTATTTTATTAAATTTAAATTAAGACTTAAATTTTGTTAAAAAGTTTAATGATATGTTTTTCATTTTTTTTATAACCCTATAGAATTAAAATTTTGTTTTTCTTAATTAATTAATTAATTTATTCTAATTAACATAATTGCTATTTTTAATTAAATGAAATTATTTTTCTAAATTTATGAAAAATAAATTAAATGTTTATTCGTTATAAACTGAATGTTGTTATGACAGTATGCATGTAAACATGGATTTGGAAAAGTTATGTAAAACGAATGATAAATTTTCAATGCAAAAAAAAAAAAGGTGGAAAACAAGCTTATGTAAGTTAACGATAGTTAAAAGGAAAAAAAATTGTTTCAACGATATATTAGAAAATGTTAATTCACGCACCTTCGTTTGATGGATGCGAAGTCTCATCGAAGACCTCCCTGCACACAATAGTGGCAGCGCTATCTTGGGAAATACTCATTTTCCACGAATTTTTCACAAAAGAAATGTGTGTTTGTTTATTTTTTGAAAAAAGGCGGAAAATGAAAGGTTTAGTTTTCTGTTTTTCTTTTTTACATTATGTCCTTTAATTGACCGGCGGACTCGCGGCAATTTCGCGTTAAATATAAATAAAATTTTGAGGATCCTGTCATGTTGACGTTTGCGCGAAATCCGAACTGAACGACGGTCAATGTTGAATTCAAGTTGAATGTATATATATATAGGGGTAGGGGGAAAGTCGAAACGATTGCAGCGAACCCTTCTTTAACCAAGGAAAAATGGGGTGAAATATTAAGAACTCATTTACAATGTTTGATGGGATAAATTACTCTCCCTTTTACTAACAGCAGTGTTTAACGACAGCTGTTAAATTCCTGTTTTATCGACGAGTTTTATTTAGCAAAAATTATTATTTTTAATTTCTTTCTTTATAATTATTTTCCAATTTTATAAATATTTTAAATTAATTTTTAGTTTTTTTTTTTTTTTAAATAACAAATTTTTTGTCAACAGATTTCTGAATAATTGACAAATGGTAAGTTATCGTGCAGTTGAAATAGTTCGTCAAAATACCGTTATGTAGACTTTTTATTTTATTTTATTATTTCTTTATTCTTTTGTTTTTAAAAAAGCAATATTTTTTTTTTATTTTTTCTTCTATTTTTTAAAAATATTTTTTTGATTATCAATTTATTATTTTGTTAATAATAATTTATATATAGCTTTCTTTTTATTAAAAAAAAAAAAAGAAAAAATATTTAATTTTTATTTTGTGATTTATATATATATCATTCCCAGAATAATTAAGAAATAAACTACAAAATAATTATTGTAGAAATTTTTCTTTTATTTTTTAAAAATTAATTCCTAATTTTTCATTCTTGATTTTGTAAAGTTTATAATTGTGACGCGTCGCGAAGAATGGTACCTTAGAAGCAAATGAATTATAGGTTATGTTTAAGACAGTTTTACCTATTAATTAAAAGTTTCTTTTCGTTTCTGCAACATCAAAATCAGTTTTTATTGATTGTTTTATAGATATAATAAAGACCTAAACATCATTGGTTTGCATTAAAATTTAATCTTCTTTGTGTATTTTCACTTTCAAAGTTCAAAATATAAATTTTTTGCTTCTAAGGTCCCTTTCTTCGCGACGCGTTACATATGTAAATTAATTTAAATTTAAAAAACAAGTTAACTTTTTTTATTTCATTGAAATGAAAATCAAGTTTTTAATTTATTGATAAATAATAAATAATAAATAAATTTGTTTTTAATTTATTAAATGATTTGTTATGTTTGGTTCATTATACGAGAGTCAGAGATCCTGTTAGTGCTGCCACTTGCCGGCGGATATAAAAAAAAATATCTCCCCAAAAGAAATAATAAAAAAATATATATTTTTTAAAAATAGCTCAATTTAAGAATTGAATAAGAGTACATTTTTGAAATATAATTTCATTAAGATTTTAATTATAGTTATCAATGAAATTGAGTTATTTTTTATTTAAAAAGTCAATTTATTTTTAAATAATAATTTGCACTAAATAATTTATACAACTTTTGTATTATATTATAGTGTATATGTAATTAATAATAATGAAATTAGAGATTTTTATATCAAGCAAATATAATTTATTTGAATTAAATAAAAATATATTTGTTCGGGAGCTACCTAAATAATTATTTTATTTGGAACAAATAAGTAAATTTTTTTTTCTTTGCTTATAACTAAATAAAATTAATAACATCGAAATAATAACAATAATAATTTTTAATAAATAAACAAATTATTATAAATTTTTAAATTTTATTATGTTTATTATTATTATTGCGATACTGAAAAAAATTATTAAATACAAATAATCGATTACTTACAAACAAATATTTATTTGAATCAAATAAACTGTATTAAAGTCAATAATTTATGTTTTTAAAACGAATATCATTTAATAGAGATTGAAAAAATAATTATTTTCTATAGTAGTTAAACAACCAATTATTTGAATCAAATAAATTATTTATTCATAATTTATTTTTATAATCACTATTTTTGTCCATCATTTTAATTAGAAATCTAACGATCTTTGTGAAATATCGATTAGAGGAGGGGGGAGGGGGGGTATTAAAATTCTGTCTTAATTGGAAAAAAATATAAGCGGACAGCTTCGTTATACATAATATGCGAGTATTCAGCTTAACGACACCATACATTCTGTATAATAATGCTAGAAAATAATTAAGTGATAATGATATCTCATACATTTGACTTCCTTCATATTTATAATTTTATCGTGCAATGATGCAATCGTGTAAACCAAAAAAAAAAAAAAAACAACAAACAAAAAACTATGACCTAATGATGTTTATATATTTACGATATTTTTAATTACATTTAATCGGAAATTAATTTCTTTAACTATTCTTTTGTTTAAAAATTAATTTAAAAAAAAAATAAATTCTCAAAAAAAAATAATGTGCTGATTATGAAAAATTCTTTTTATTCATTTTCTAAAGAATAATGATTAATTTTGTTTTTATTGATTATTGATATAATGCGTAGAAATAAAATTGAAATAATCAATGACACAAAATGAAAGAAATTGCAAACGCACACTGAGAAAAAAGGTTTGAGCTGACAACCAAATATTTCATTCAATATATGTGCAACTAAAATTTTTTGGTTGACACAACTAAACTTTAGTTGACAACAACCAAAGTTTGTTTCAGACGACTAAATAAGAAAATGAAAAAGAATTTGGTAGTCCCAACCAAACTTTGGTTGATGTCAACTAAAGTTTAGTTGTGTCAACCAAAAAATTTTAGTTGCACGCATATATTAAATGAAATATTTGGTTGTCAGCTCAAACCTTTTTTCTCAGTGCATAATTGTATGACAAAAATTTTCTATAATAATAAAAATTTCTTGAAATAATTTGTCAAGTGTTTAAACATTGTATAAAATCTATAGTTATAGAACTTTTAAGGAAATTAAGTTTTGAAATTTTATTACAAAAATGGTAAAAGAAAATGTTTTCTTTTAAAGAAATTCATATTTTTTTATAAGAGGTAGACTATAAAATTGAATTTTAGTTTAAATATTAACTAATTTAAATCAATTACTGACATTTTGTTCTTAATTAGTCCAAATTTATTAATAAGTTAGCAAAAAAATTGTTTTAATCACTGAGAGAACGATATTTTTTTGTTTTATTAAATCATATTACCAATTCTTTAGTAAAATTTAACATCTAATTCATACATCCAGAAAAATGATTTATTTGAACCAAATAAAATATATTTGAGTTAAATAAACGTATATTTGTCTCAGAGCCTACTAACTTATTTATTTGGCGTAAATAAAAATTTTATTTGTCATAAATAAATTTTTGTTTGGCTCAAATAAATTTTTTATTTAAATGAAATAAAATACATTTGCAACAAATAAATGAGTTAGTAGGCTAGATTAAAATACAGTTAAAAATTTAAATAATTTAAATTTGGAGCATGAATGAAAAATTTTTCTTTCAAATAAAAAAATTCAAGTTAAAAACTTAAATTACTAAATTACTTTCTTAAATAAACTATACACGGATAGAAAAAGTTTGCTGTGGCAAAGAACTATTTGCTGTCACAGCAAATTACATTATCTAATATAGGGACAGCGAACAAATTTGCTGTGGGGTCAAAAAAGTTTGCTGTGACAGTAAATTTTTAAAAATTAAGACTGATATTGTTTATCATAGCAAACTTTTTTGTTGTCATAGAAAAAAAATTTATCTGTGGTTACTAATTTTGATAGATCCGATATAGCAAACATCAATTATCATTTGACAGAAATTCCTTTTTTTTCGTGTATATATCATTGATTGTTATTTTTTAAATAAAAAATGAAAAGAAAAACTTAAACTTTTCTTCACTTGGAAAAAATTGAAAAAATACATTTACAAAACTGAAATTTTAAAAATTCATAACTCGAAAATTTGTCAAAAAAAAAAAGAAAGAAATACATATCTCTTTTTTTTCACTACAGAACAAGAAAAAAATACATTTCGCCGATTTTAAAAGGTCGACTGAAATCTCACGTGAAATTTCCCATATGTTTATATATTTAACTCAAATATGTTATATTTGGTTCAAATAAAACATTTCTCTAGATGAATTATTCCATAAATCAACAAAAAAAAAAAATGTTTTATAAAAATTGTTTGTACAAATTTTTCTTTTCTTTAATATAAATGGTTACACTTTTTCTTTTATTTTTAAAGCCCTTTTGAAATAAAATTCTTATAACATTTTCAACAAAAAAAAATATATATATATATAAATTTAATTTAATAATGAAATAATTATTTCGTTTCATCAGTTACGAATAGTTCGATGATGAATATATGTAGATAAAAAAAAGGTTACTACTGAATTATATATACATATACATATTATATATAAATGAACGATTACCCTAATATTTTTGAACACTGTCGAAAATGCTCCTTCGAATGTGAATAAAATCCGTTACGTGACAGTGACAATGACATAGATGAAAAACATTTACTTAATGTGGGACAATTCTATTGGTAGTTAAGCCCTTTGCATTCACGCCGGGAGATCCCCTAATCTAGTATAACAACGTAACGACGTAACCTTGTTAAATAAATGTCAGGACACAAGCCCGAGGGGTGGCAACGGTCAGACCCTGAATAAAAGGGCCAACCCCTAAAAACTGGGCTAATGTACACGAGAATCAAAATGGTGGATAAAACGATCAGAACAAAATGAAAAAAGTACCCTCTTTATATATATAATATAAAAAGAACTACTGTTATTCTCTCCTTCTTTTTATTCTTTCCCATAAAAATTACAAAATTCAATAATTCAATTTATTATTAGGCATTAAACACTTATTTAATCAACAATAAAACTAGTTAAGAATTTCATTATGTATATATTTTGTTCATTTCACAAATGCGACGGACTTGACAAAAAATGTCTTGTATTTTTTATTTGAACCAAATATAATATATTTGAATTAAATAAACGTCATATATTCATCTGAGAGTCTATACTATATAGCCCATTTATTTGGCATAAATAAAATTTATTTGCAACAAATACCTAAATATTTAATTTATTCTGAGACAAATATTGAAACGAATATTTATTTAGCTCTGATAAATTTTTTTTTCTTGTGAGTATATGTT